ATTTTGATGCGCAGAAGCTACAGCAGTCAAATTCGTGGTCTGAGAAAAATCTCTGCACTGGGTGATCGGGCATTTATAGAGTTTCCGTGAATCAACTGAGCGTCAACTGCGAACCGGAATCCATCACTGATTACACTATATACACACAGGGAAAAACAATACGTAGAAATCGTCATATTCTGATAGTGTGGATGAAAACGGCGGTCAGTTGTGAGTCCCAAATTTGATGATGTTATGGTCTAATCACCTTCTCGTAAGCGGTTATTACCTCTCTGGGTGGAGTTATTCTAAACCATCATGTGCAATAATCACCAGTCACAAAGCTCGGCGCTGGACGAGGTTTCCAAACTGTGATTGAGGAGAGGAGAAAAAACCTGAAATTCAAGTCCACAAAATCTCCAGATAATCTGCAACTTCAGAAAGTTTTAAAAAAAACAAATGCTCGAAGCTTTACATTTTCCGAGTGAATCTATTACATGCATCCGTTCTTTTTTAGCTCTTCAGTAGTTGACGCTGACACTACATTATACACCAGATCGAACGACTGAGAAATGAGCACAACGAGGGTTTTATAATTACTAGAGAAAACCTTATTGCGGCAACTCACGGAGGCATCGTTCCACTCTACCGCAGCGTGCTACCAATTGAATATTCCAGAAAGAGGTTTCATTCGTTTTAAAATTTCAATTTGCTCTTCGGAAAGTGCATAGATGACGTGTCTGCGGTTGCAGCAGTGTAACTCACCAATGCAGCGGAAGAGAGATTCGTTCCAGCATTTCGCTGCAAATGAACGTTCAAATGACAAATGAAGAAAAAATTTGTGTAATGAGGCCAAGTCCACGGGAAGGTAGAAGTTTACGATGAATTACCAACGCATCCAAATTTTTTTCGGAACATTTCAAGCAAATGTACATTTAGCTGCGTCAAGATGAGGAGGTGCTTTGAACAACTTGTTCCAAACAACAAAATGTTGCTTAATCGGAATTCAGTCATCCAAGGCCATTGACAACACTCGTTTATTGAACTTGCTGTTTAATATATTTTTGAATGTGTGCCAATTATCGTTTGGCAAGTGGTTATTTATTCTGTGACGACAAAGAATCGGATTTATTCTACTCTCCGATAAAATAGAAAGAGTAATATTTGGGTGATGAAAACTCTCCGAAACTTAACGAAATAAATCAATTGCATCCTCGGTCACATGCCGAGTACAAATGTAAACGTAATAGGGTGATCAGAATTCCGTAGTTCTGTGGGTGCCTACTCTTGAGGAGAACGGCTGTCCATTACATGCTGAAAAGCTTTTGTTCATTGGCAGCCACACCAATGAGGGCCTCAACAATTACCAGGCATATTTGTGTAGCTTCAGCATGGTGGTTAAAAGTGTTGCAGAACATGTCCGTATTGCGCTGAATTCATGCGTAGTTTTGGACATTAAATCTTCTGTGGTTATTCTGGTCTTGCAGATAAGGCTGGAACTATATTTCTACAATCAGTTAGGTGACCCACTTTTCTCTCGTTCATCCTCTGGGTATGCGTCTAAAATTGTTGGAAAATACTTATATGAAGCAGCTTTTTACGATACATGGCAAACTATTTCAAATGTAGAAATTTCGGCAAAAATGCTGCATACGGTCTGCTTTAGCCAAAAGCACTTCGGTCGAGCCCTTGATGAAGTAGATCTGCTATGTTCAAATTAAATGTAACGTAATTTGATGGCTTGCACTTGCGGCAGGCAGGCGAACCATCTGGTACCCTTGGTGAAGCCGCTACATTGCGTCACCAAAGTGCCCTCACAAATGTCAACTTTGGTTGTTAGAACAGGCAATGCAAAAACCAACGAAGGACGTTTTTGGTGAATTATTCCTCAATGCATATAAGAACTGATAAAGAAATAACAGCTAGAGAATATGGTAGAATGTCCTATCGGATCGCTAATTGAGGAAGCGATGCTGGATGCGTGTAAAAATCTCAAACGGTGCCAGCAAAGATTGTTATATACAAGTTTGAATGCTTGGACAAACCTAGGCAGCGTGTCCTCTCCTCCCGATTGCATCGATCTGGAGATGGGAAAAACGTACACACTTTATTGTACATTGTGTCGGTAAACATGTACGTCCAATATAGTTGAATGAATTGGCTCCTTTTACACTCACGCCTTTGCGGTAATTCCAGGTCACCCTAGGTTTTCTGTTTATATCGCAGCGTACTCTACGTGTTGAAAGTTCGTTGAATCATTGGCATTCCGTAGTTACATTATTATAGCGCGTCAACTCAATTTCTTACTTAATTGCTTTGCAACGGGTATGAAAATTAACCGTACGGTAGATGGTGGCAAATGACCATCACACGAGCGACACAAATGATGATTAGAAACTCACGGCGACACAATTCTACTCTAAGGATTTCTGCATCTACGAAGAAATGTTGGCATAGATGGAAATCAGGATTGCTGGCAGACGTAAAGAAGTAAAAGTTTTTATACAATCAATTAGGTGCATTTAGCAATACATCTGAACTGGAACTCTCTGCATGTGAACTCTGCGGACGTTGCGGAACTGTAAACAGAATGTGGGCGTCCAAATTTGAAAAAGTGACTTGACTTGTATTGATCCGTTCCACTGAGGCAATCACTAAGTTTCTCAAGGCCACGCGATATTTTTTGACGTGATCATGTGCATTATGTTTCCAGTAGTTGGTAGAAACCTTTGTTTGTATGAAGAAATGTGGTGTATATTAGTTAAGATCGCAGTGCTTCAGAGACGACTTGTTTGAGGTCATTAACTGTCCGTGAAGGTCATTTTGCTAAAAAATTTCACACGCATTATCCGAGGTGTTTGTTCAAACTGGTGTACTTCAGAGCACCTAGTTATTCATGGTTGTTGGGTTATTGAAAACTTACGGTCAACGCGCGGCGGATCCTCTCCACACTCATCTGTAACATTAATCCAAAGTTCACTCAAAAATTAATAACGAATAGTTAAGAGTTTGTTTGCAATATAAAAAACAAAACCGTGCATGAAGGTTCTCCAGTAAAACAGCTAATGTGAGAACAGTCAACGGTGAAAAACTAAATTCATAGGAAGCTAAGACTTCCCTGCAGGAAATGGATGATAGTCCGTTTAGATTATATGATTGATTTTTTTCCGAGGATTCCCAAGTACATATGTAACCCCCTAAAGCTTCATTTTGTGAATTTTGAAAGAAGGCGATCACAATTGGAGACTACCAAGCACTGTCTGCTAACATTTGTGACTAAACTTCATCTTTAACCTAGGCGTGTCCATTTCCATCTGTAGATTACTGATTAGCTGTGAAACAATGGTTGGACAAAACCACCAAATTCTGGATATTCTAAAAACCGTCACCTTCGTTTAGTCAATAACAAGGGGTTGAATATTGAGATATGACTATGGAAAAAACACGCCATGTGTGGAAGCATATAGGCCTTCATTGGTTTGGTTACACTTAGTAACGAAAATGTTTCCCAATGGCGCATTTGGCAGGACCAAGACAAGACTTTCAGTACCCGAAATTCACGGCAGATTGAAACGTAAAATCAGATTTTATCGAAAAAACTATTTCTGGCCGGCTCTAATGAACACGCGATGTACAATAATAGATATGAGTTCTCACCCATACATAGATCGTAAGGCGGAATACCTCTTGCCAAGACGTTTCTTACTAAAATGCAAGTTAGAACTCATGAATATGTTTTGATGAATATATGTGCATTTAGCAATACATCTGAACGTCGTATTGGAACTCTCTGCATGTGAACTCTGCGGACGTTGCGGAACTGTAAACAGAATGTGGGCGTCCAAATTTGAAAAAGTGACTTGACTTGTATTGATCCGTTCCACTGAGGCAATCACTAAGTTTCTCAAGGCCACGCGATATTTTTTGACGTGATCATGTGCATTATGTTTCCAGTAGTTGGTAGAAACCTTTGTTTGTATGAAGAAATGTGGTGTATATTAGTTAAGATCGCAGTGCTTCAGAGACGACTTGTTTGAGGTCATTAACTGTCCGTGAAGGTCATTTTGCTAAAAAATTTCACACGCATTATCCGAGGTGTTTGTTCAAACTGGTGTACTTCAGAGCACCTAGTTATTCATGGTTGTTGGGTTATTGAAAACTTACGGTCAACGCGCGGCGGATCCTCTCCACACTCATCTGTAACATTAATCCAAAGTTCACTCAAAAATTAATAACGAATAGTTAAGAGTTTGTTTGCAATATAAAAAACAAAACCGTGCATGAAGGTTCTCCAGTAAAACAGCTAATGTGAGAACAGTCAACGGTGAAAAACTAAATTCATAGGAAGCTAAGACTTCCCTGCAGGAAATGGATGATAGTCCGTTTAGATTATATGATTGATTTTTTTCCGAGGATTCCCAAGTACATATGTAACCCCCTAAAGCTTCATTTTGTGAATTTTGAAAGAAGGCGATCACAATTGGAGACTACCAAGCACTGTCTGCTAACATTTGTGACTAAACTTCATCTTTAACCTAGGCGTGTCCATTTCCATCTGTAGATTACTGATTAGCTGTGAAACAATGGTTGGACAAAACCACCAAATTCTGGATATTCTAAAAACCGTCACCTTCGTTTAGTCAATAACAAGGGGTTGAATATTGAGATATGACTATGGAAAAAACACGCCATGTGTGGAAGCATATAGGCCTTCATTGGTTTGGTCACACTTAGTAACGAAAATGTTTCCCAATGGCGCATTTGGCAGGACCAAGACAAGACTTTCAGTACCCGAAATTCACGGCAGATTGAAACGTAAAATCAGATTTTATCGAAAAAACTATTTCTGGCCGGCTCTAATGAACACGCGATGTACAATAATAGATATGAGTTCTCACCCATACATAGATCGTAAGGCGGAATACCTCTTGCCAAGACGTTTCTTACTAAAATGCAAGTTAGAACTCATGAATATGTTTTGATGAATATATGTGTTGTGTTCCACACTGTAAATAACCTACTTAGGATAACTGCGATAAGCATGAAAACCAGTGCCATGAATATTGTTGATTGGTAGTGCGAAAACACACGTCTCGTTCACTTCATTTTATATCCATATGTGACCTTGTATGAGCAGTGATAATTTATAAAACGAATAGTTTGCTGGTCGATAAGACGGAACCTGTGAGGTTATTCCCACAAAACGGAAGCCGGATGCACACGACAAATTTGTTTGAAGCACGTTTGTTAATTCAATAATTTAAGGAAAACTACAGTCCTAATTCAACTTTCCTGCAGATTCAATCGACGCGCGGTGTATAAGCTAGCATACTCTACGCCGATATTTGAGGTATCCCGTTGAAAATTTGATGAACAAACATGAATGCGAGGTGAATTTTCTACGATCATCTATATATTCAGGTGAAAATAACAAATTAGTTCGGGCACCGATGATAGTTAAGACCGGCGTGCACGAACATGCACTTAACATGAAGTGAGATAAACGAAAACTTCACTGGCAGAATGTGCCTCCGGTGGGCATACATCTCTTGCTCCGGCAACACGTCGCGGAACTTGTCATGCAGACATTGAACACTGCATTCCTCTATGGAACTGCAATCGTCGAAATGCCTTAAAATATTAAATAAATTTCAGAAATTTCTTCGAATTCGCGGAACGAGTCGTTTGTGCCAGAGATGCATGTTACTTTCACACTTTTAGGGAAGCATACCGTCAATTCAAAAACAAAATCATAAGCATGTAACTTCGCGATTGAAAAAAAAACCGTAGACTGCTGTGAAAATAAGAATGCAGAGTAAGGCATCTTTCCAAGTGCCTGCAGTGATTAATAGGCAACATAAAGACGGATCAAGTATGCACATTCTTCAAAAGCTCTCATGCACACTCCTGCATTTATTGTCCAATGGGCATTAGGTAAGTTTGTTCTTATGGTTTCTTCCATCTGCCAGAAAGTTTCCACCTGCATGGCTGCAGAAGAATCTTTAATAGGAAAGAGCATAGCTATATAAAACTTGCTTATCGGTAAAGTGTTGGAATATTGGTAGCTCGGGTGTTTCCTTTGTCTCAGAGGCTGGTAGGCAGGATCAATCTCAATACGCCTGTTTATTGCTCCATCGGTGGAGTACCACGCCTCCATGAACTCGGCTTCTCTCTTTGTTCTTGCCTGGCCCAGTATTCTGACATTATTCCAATCGAAATGATGTCCTTCCCCATCTTCGTGTGCAGAGATGAGAGAGAGTTGGTCATGTCTCCTGGTGGCGAGTTTGTGTTCGGTGATTCTGGTTGACAGTTTCCTCCCTGTTTGTCCCACGTAGTGTTTTTCACAATCGTTGCATTGAATTTTGTAGATTACATTTGTCCTTTCCATCGCATTGAGTGTCCCTTTTGGTTTTGATAGTACTCTCCGCAGCGTGTCAGTCGGTCTCTGGGCCACTTTTATGGCATGCAGTCGTAGTATCCTGGCGGTCATCTCCGAAATGTTTTTGATATATGGTAATGTGATTGTTTTGCTTGTGTTCTTCCCCATCTCGTGTGCAGAGATGAGAGAGAGTTGGTCATGTCTCCTGGTGGCGAGTTTGTGTTCGGTGATTCTGGTTGACAGTTTCCTTCCTGTTTGTCCCACGTAGTGTTTTTCACAATCGTTGCATTGAATTTTGTAGATTACATTTGTCCTTTCCATCGCATTGAGTGTCCCTTTTGGTTTTGATAGTACTCTCCGCAGCGTGTCAGTCGGTCTCTGGGCCACTTTTATGGCATGCAGTCGTAGTATCCTGGCGGTCATCTCCGAAATGTTTTTGATATATGGTAATGTGATTGTTTTGCTTGTGTTTCCGGTTGTCGCGTTGGTTGAATTGCATTGTCTCAAAGATCTCCGGACGAAATTCCTTGGGTAACCGTTCCTTTGAAAGATTCTGTATAGACGTTTCTCTTCTTTCACTTCAGATTCTACTGTGTTGCAGTGCGTTTCAATTCGCTTGAATAGTGTCCGGATGCAGCTCTGTTTGGGGCAGTTTGGGTGGTTGCTGTGCTAGCTTAGAAGTTGATCCGTATGCGTAGCTTTTCTGTAGACTTCCGTTTGCATTTGTCCATTTGGTAACCTTGTGACGAGGACATCTAAAACCGCCAGCTTGTTGTTGTTTTCTTCTTGCACCGTGAACTTGATGTCATCGGAGACACTGTTTATCAATTGGATTGCTCGTTGTAGTTCTCTCTTCTTGATGATGACAAAGGTATCGTCTACATAACGTACCAAAAGCTTCGGGTTGATGTCCGGCAACACGGTCCTCTCCAGTCTTTGCATTGCAATCTCGGCGATGAACCCTAAAATTGAGGAACCCATTGGTGCTCCTTTCAATTGTTCATAGTATTCACCGTTGAATTCGAAGTACGTGGTCAAACAGAGGCTGAGCAATTCACATATGTCTTCCTTCCTTAGAGATCCACTGGGAGGTCCATGACTGTCCAGTAGTTCAGCGACTGTTGTCTTTGCGGAGTGAAGGTCCACTGATGTGAACAGTGA